ATTTTAAATCATTTTCGTAGTTAGAAATTATGAAACGCCCTGTTAAAAGCAAGGAAGTTTTTATGCCCGTTGAAGTAAAACAAAATGCCTGACAAAGTATGGCTTGGACAGATTCCAAGTGCTTGTACAAATGTGCTAAAGAAATTATACTTTGAGTATACAGCTTGTCCAAAGTCATCCAAGTTATGTTTAGACTTTTACTTTAGAATTTTAAAATGTGTATAACAGTATGTTAATTATTAAATTAATTAGATCAGTTCCACAACTTTTTTACAACAATACCAGCAAGTAAAGTTTTCTTATTAAGGATTTGTAGAAATGAATAAAACATTATATCTTTTTATGAAGTTACCATGTCAAAATAACTGAGTTAAAGACTTTCATGCATAAAATGTGTAGGAAGAAGGTGGAGTACCGTTGTGTACTTTTTATATTTAGCTACCACTACCATCTACCTTATGTATATTAGGTTTATATTATGTATGAGACCGTATGGCTTTAAAGCCACTACAGTACAGTATGTGTGAAATATATTTTTCATAATCAAAACTGATTACTTAGTGCAGAAATTTGCATTACATTAGGTACATTAAGTATATCTTACATTATACTTCTGTTTTTATTTTCAGCTACCAAAAGTTCCCTTTAAATGTTAAATTCCATATTAATATTGCATATTAAGCAGATTTAAACATGCACATTAAAGAGATTAAATGAAGCAATCATTTCACTGACATCTAACACAGCACAAATGCCATCATCTTTGGCCAGTGAATTGCATAACTCAACTTGCCGGGTTACAGGTTACACATTTGGAAGACGTACAGCATGTTCTTAGTGGCTGCATCTGTAAAAAGCTATAGAAAACTGTTTTATACAGCTCACACTTTATTTGCATAAAAACCAGGTGCTTTTTCTTTCTTACTTCTCCTTACACCAGGCACACAAGTGTTTTTTCTTTAAATGCAGAACACATAAAACTCTTATGTATTCAAGAAACACAAATATTTTTTCTGATTATTTACCAAGTACTTCTATAATTGCAAGTAACACTAAATTTTCTATAGCTTAATGTTATGGTTTCAATGTTCTTCTTACCTGTAATACTTCTTCTACAGATGAATATGTCTGCCAAAATTTGTTGTAGATTGAAGGCTTGTGTGTAAAAGCACTTTCAAACTGCACAGAGAAAATGGGCTTTAGTTAGAAGCTCTTTTAACAATGAGGCTTAGGTAGTGGACAAAAATTCAAACAACAATATAAAGTCATTTCATGAGGCATCACTACATGTGGCCAGTACAGCCTATAGGTATACAGTCTACTAATGTCTGGAATTCTGTACGGGGGTTGCAACACTGTTGTTCCATGGGCAATTCATGCCAAGTTCAAAGAAGTGTCAAGTATCATTACAGGATATCCCATAAATACTTGTTTGGGTTCTGTTGTGTTCTTTAAACATGACAACCAATCTGAAGACTTGCATAGGTAACCCTTTTGTTCAGGTAGAAATAAAAAGTGCAGTCCATGCAGAAAAAAACAGATGTTTGAAAGTCATAATTATTTTATTTAAATCAACTACATGTGTCTTAGATACAAAACAAGAATTATAAATCATATAATAGCTTCTCTGGTGTAAAATCTCCTGAAGACAGCTAAAGAGCTAAAGAAAACAAAAGGGAAAGGCATAAAGCAGCCAAAGTTGTTCACCAAAGGTTTAAATTACTTTATCTACCCTAACTCAGAACTTAAATGGGTCTTAGCCTAAACCCTACCCACTGGCATGCAAAAAGTTCAGGAAATTATTTTAAATTGGTGTCTGGCATATTAGACTCTTGCATTAGACAAACAAGCAAGCACTGCTCACCATTTTTTTCTTTTTAGGATTTTTATTAATGGGATTCAGAGATAAATACTTAAATATTTGACCATGGTAATGTGAAAATAAAAATCACAGCATCACAGATCACACATGCTTTGTGGATTTGGATAATGTCATCCTGGAAGACATCACTCCCAGCAGAAAAGAACTGTTACAACATGGGGTGAACATGATCACTCAGAGTAGTGCCATAGAGTAGCGATTAGCATTGACTTTAATTTCTAAGGAATGAGTACACTCACACCACACCAGGAAAATGCCCTCAAAACACTGCAGAACAACCATAACCCTTCACTTTCGGAGCCCAGCTCTCAAAACTGTAAAGTTTTTTATGATACAAAACAGTTGTAGGTTTGTTAGAACATAGTGAACAATCAATTAGGTAGCTGCGTCAGCATGCGTAGGCTGCAAAGTAATAAGTAAAGGTTTATTCCATGCAGAAAAGAGAAGAAACCTGAGGAAGACTCCACAGCTGAAATGCTGTGTCTCTTTTCTTCTCTTTTCATCATGGAATAAACTTTTACTTGTTGCATGGTGAAGAATAATTATTCTTCATTATCATTATCACATTTCTCCACGCTCAGCAGTTCACTGCCTCTGCTTTTAGCATCAGCTGACATGCGAATTTGCATTGCCAGGTGTGAAAAGCATTATGTGGACTGTAACCTGACTGTAAACTCCACTCTGCGTAGTTCTCAGAGGACTGTTTGAGGACACTGGCTGCTCTCACAGCAGGTTGAAATCTGTAGTTGATTAGTTGATTATAATTACAATAGTAATCCCTCTTTTAACATCACTGAGCTTTGCTCTTGTAGCCATGCTAGGTAACCATTATCTGTCCCAGCCTTTTTATATATCATCCTAAGCATGCTGGTATATAATTTGTTTAGTTAGCAAATAAGCCACACTTGTGTGGAAGATCTTGCTTTCATTATTCATTTACCCAGCTATTTCCATTTTTGTTCACTACCTGTAGCCCTTTAAAACACCATGTGAGGGGAGAAGCTCACCTTGTCTCTTGCCCACTGTATTGTGTGTTCTATGACTGCAGGAAAGGATTTCAATGTACAGAATGGTACCTCTTCTTCAGGAGGATCTCGCTGAAAATAAAATCATTAAATAACTTTCACAAAAATAAAATATTTTACAAATTTCATAAACATAACACATTTTGTTAATAATAATCACAAACCTCCCTTTTCAGAAGCTAAGGTACTTATCTGAAAAATCTCTAAGCTAAACATACTTAGAAATGTGAGAATTAGCTTTATCATGACCTCAACAATAATGTAGAAGGAACTGTGTGGAGCTCCATCAGTACAGAGGCTACAGAGGAGCTCAAGGTCAAGCTGTAGGGTTTTCTCCAGGCATAAAAAGAGAGAGCCTGAGGGCATAAATATGAGGAAAATAGGTGGGCAGGAAAAATGAAAGAAAACAAAAGAGATTAATTATCAGGGGAAGTGTTGATTTGTAAATGAAAAGATTGAAAATTAGATCAGTTGATTACAGACCATGGGATGGGGGGGGGGGAGGATAAAAATCAGGATGTCCTCCTTTCACAGAAATTGTTTAATCCTACTGAAAGCCACAAACACATTAACGTGCTCTTGATTGGGAGCAGTAAGACTCTGAAAGTGAAGGAAACTATATGGATCCAAACATACAGAAAACTACAGATGAAAAAGGCCATAGAACAAATATAGAAAAAGAACAAAGCTAAAGGAAGTAACAAATTTTACTGAGAAAAAGTCTGATTCATTCCGGAATGATGAATCTATTTCTGGCAGTGGCTCATTCAGTGGGTTTGACAATGGATTTGTCTTTATAGGTAGGATTTGGAGAAGGAGGGTAAGAGGGGTTGTTTTGTTCTAGTTTCTGATTGCTTGTTTTAAAAAAAAAGAAATATTAAAAAAAGAAACCGAGGCAGACCTTTGCAGAGATAAAAACTACAAAGACATAAAAATCACACTTGATTCTGTGAAGTAAGAAGAGTGGTCATTAGCTGATTTATATTGTTACAGCCTTAGGTGACTGAGAAGTGTCTCTTAGATTTTAGATAAAGTTTGTGACATTCGAAAGAGTAAACACTTCTAACTGCAAAGCAGAGAGGATGTTTGCTGAGGTCTGGGGAGTCCCTGGAGTAGAAACAATTTTAAGGTTTACCTTAGTATACTAAGGTAAGTTGTGGGTTAATGATTGTCAAGGAGCAGTACAGACACACACAGTATAAGATCACATTAAGAACACAGAAGAAGAGGAGAAGGAAGAAGAAAAAGAAGAAGCTGGAAGAGAAGAGACAAGAGTCCAGAGGAGTTGGAACTTGAAGATTGTGCCAGTCAAGAGCCCCTACTTATGATCATCCAAACAAAACCTGACCTGAGCTAAGTATCTGAACCTTGTTAGAGAGAGCATACTGTTATGTTTTTGTAGGGAACTTGGGTTTCCTGGATAAGAGAGCATTTTTATGGCTCCCAGTCTGGGGTTTTCTGGGTGACCAGAATGTTAGGCCTCTGAAACACCTTGTTTGTAAGTACTGTACATAGAGTAACTGGTGTGCTGTATGTTTTGTTGTGCGTAGTGTAGTTTGTGTCTTGTCATTGTAATAAATATTTGTTTAACCAAGTGTGCCCGGATTATTACTCCTTTCAACAAAGCTGTCCAGAGAATGAAGAATTCAGGTGACTCTAATTATACCAACCACTTGGGTATATCGTTAGAAATCGCTTACAAGTTGGGGGTTATGAATAGTTATTTCACTTATTGACTAAACCGCTCAGTCAAATGATTTTCACCATTTTTTTAACCCCCAATTTGTAACAAGAGATTTCTATAGTGTCCATTCCATAAAGCAGAGACATTGTTTAAAAGATAAAATCAAAATCATTTATTACAATGTGCTTTAAGAATGATTCAGAATATTTTAACATAAATGGTATGATAAAACAGACCTTTCCAAGCTCACAGTCCAACATTTTACCTTGAGCCAGTCTTCTTCCCCTTTCCCTAATTTAAGTGGCAGGATAAATCCCGTAAGGAATGAAATGCGACTAGATGAGCATAATGCCCTCTAAGTGATCCTTAGAATGTCAGAAAGATCACGCTTGTGTTTGAGAAGCTGGCCTCAAAGGTCCAGTTTCTGTGTATTTTCGCCCGGACAAGTCAATTCCTCTTATCTTGCACTGTTAACAATGGTTTCTTTGCAGCAATTCTTCCTGGTAGGTCAGCTTCACGCAACCTCCTCTGAACAGTTGATGTCAAAACATCTGTACTTCTAGTTGCATTGAGTTCAGCTTGTATTTCGGGGCAGTTATTTGCCAGTTTTGCAGACTTGTGGCTCTAATGAATGTATTCTCTGATTCTGAGGTCACCTTTGGCCTGCCTGATCTTTTTAGTTCTATACAGTATATAGACTGGTACTGTATATTTACAAGTGATGCAGTGAGTTCTGATGCAAGGGAAAGTGCCTGGTGTGGATGATTGCTGAGGACAGTCAAGGGTGCGGTGAACAAGGTTGTGCAGACTAGGTGTTTGGCGATATGAGATGGTGGGGCGGTCAGAAAAAAGGGTACCAGTGGAGGGATCATCCCGTAAGATGGGGAAGTTGTCATTGATGGTCCTGGGGATAGAAATGGTGGTAGGAAAGCACCAATTGAATGTATTTGTGAGGCCAGGAGTTCCTAATTGAGTTGATGACTCAAGGGTGTTTTTGGCTTGGGAAAGGGCCCTGTCAAAAACATGGGTGGGGCATTCTCTGTTAATGAAAAAAGAGTGCATTTTGAGGGCTTGGTTTTGGAAATCCATGTCATCACTCCAAAGTTGTTGGGTTTCCTCTGTCTCTCACAACCGAAGAAGGTTCCACATCCTGTTTCTTTTCTTGTTTTCAGCATAAAATACATCTTTACTTTTTCCCTTGCATTTAAAACTTGCCTAAAAAGAGGTAAAAGTTAACTCTACTTTTACCTGTTATGACTGTTTGACCTGTTCAAACTGCACAGCAAAACCCTGTAACGTGGAAAAAAATCTACAACCAACCGCGTTACATGTTTGGCTGGTCAAAATGGCAGACAGGTGGCACTTGTGGTGCATTAGTTCTTTGTGAAACAATTACTTCTTTAAATCTCTCTCCTGCATATGTTTAAATACACTTAATATGATATATTAATAAGGAAATTTACAACTAAAGGGAAAGTTGGTAGGTGAGCATAAAACAAGAGCACAACATATCTGAACATCATAAACTATATTAATTTTGAAATATAAATATGTAATAAAAACTGTATATGGCTGGTAGTGGTAGTTTAAATAAAAAATACAAAACAGTATCCCACTTTCTTTATAAATATTTTATGCATCAGAGTCTTTCACACAGTCACTTACTGTGGTTATTTTGGAAAAGTTTTGATGTGCTGCTCCTGACAATATTAAGTTTATATTTTTTATAAAAAGCTTTATAAAAGCTATAATGTTTTAACCAAGTATTAATGAATACTTGTTCTCGTTATCGCACAAAAAATGTATACTGTTTTGAATCTGCTTAATAGGGAATATAAAATGGAATCATATATCTAAAGAAATGAATAATGAATAATTTAAGGATCTCAATGTCACATATTTTTATAGTTCAAAGTATTAACGTATTCAATTTTCTTTGTAAACATCTGCATTGACTTCTTGGACTTGCTAGCAATTATGTTGGAAACATTTCAAACTGTTTCAGCAATCTCACCGAGCACCTGATTGGTATGCTGGATTAGGTGCCTGCCTATTAACCGGGAGGTCAGTGTTCAATCCCAGTCAAGGCATGTGATTTTCTTGCAACAAGAAACACCATTTGAAAATAATAAAGTAGTGAATATTATGTACAATATATTATTTTTTTACTGTATAGTTTTAAACAGCTTGTGAGAAATAATAATAATAATAATAATAATAATAATAATAAACTTTATTTTATATAGCGCCTTTAAAGGTGGCTTCTCAAAGCGCTTTACAGGATGACAATAACAATAAATAAGAAGACTACAACAATAAATAAGAAAATTTCACAAGACAGGACACAATTATAATTACAACAATACAACAATAACAATAGAGGAGACCGTGGAAGATGGTATTAAGAAGAGCAGAGGGGTGAAGAATGGAACCAGTTAAGCAAAGGCTTTTCTGAAAAGGAGGGTTTTGAGTCTGGATTTGAAGGAGTTTAGAGAAGGTGACTCTCTAATATCCTTGGGCAAGGAGTTCCAGAGCTTGGGGGCATAGCAGGAGAAGGCCCTGTCGCCCATACAATGTAGACGGGCTTGGGGGACAGTAAGGAGGGCAGAATTTGAAGAGCGGAGGTTGCGAGGTGGGGAGTAGGGCGATAAAAGTTCAGACAGGTATTGAGGTGCCAAGCCATGTAAAGCCTTGTAGGTGAGCATGAGGATTTTAAAGTCTACGCGGAATTTGACCGGAAGCCAGTGCAAGGACTCCAGGATAGGAGTAATGTGAAAATACATTTATTTGTACTGTACCAAAGTGTACCTCGGTCACAGCACTTTACAGTACATACTATGACAGCTTCATTTCATTGTCAATTGCAACAGTATAAGCAGCAATTTAGTTAAAAGGAAAATGTCAAAACATTTCCAAAATAACCATAAGACGTTTTGTATATTACTTCATAGAAAAAGTTAATGTAAAACACATTATTTATTACTGTGTTTATTTCATTTTAGGGTTTTATATTTACTTTTATAATGTAGAGACCCCATTATTCCTAAGGGGCAAGCAGATTCGAAGACCTTTTCATACTATTTTTTACTTATTTTTGATTTGTGATATGCAAACGCATATTTAATTAAATGCTTGTATTGATTCACAATCTGACAATGCAAGACAGAACAAAAACATTCGTAAAATCACACTCCCGAATGTCCCACACTGCACTCAACAATCTTTGGAAGAACAAGAAAAAGTCTGTTAATAAAATAATTGCAACTTTGTTCAGTCAGCTCTTCCTCCCAGAACTTGTTAATCGCTCTGATGAGTTCTTCCTGTCGGTTTTGCCTTTTTTCAAATATAGTCTTTCAGTGAATGACAGACCATCTTTGGATTTAAATCTGGGGATTCAGCTCTAGTTTTCACCCAGTTTACTCGTGATTTTTTCTCATAATCTTTGCTTTATCGTTTATACAGTACGCCTATTCCAGGGACAACATTTCATTGTCATTAACTACGCTGAGAGAGCATGCAGATTCCAACACACTCCACGACAGCTGAAGTGTGCAATAACCTGCTTTTATGAAGTACAGTATGTAATCTTTATAATGTAAGAACAAGCACGTTATTACCACAACGTACTGTAAGTTACCAAGTTAAAGTCTTTGATGCATCATTAAAATATTTATGAAGAAGGTTGAGGGTTGTGTACTTCTGTCCAACTGAGCAATCTTGCTTTTATAAAAATACCTTTCAAAGTTAATTTTTAACATGCTGTAATACACTTAAAATTATTAAAATTTACACCGCAAATTCTGTAATTGGAAAAAAGATTATCCCTCAGCATTAACTGGGATTTGAAACCGGGCGTTTTCTGGCAACAGCCCAGATGTTGCACATGAGACATTAAGTTTTCCAACTGGTGGTTTTGCAAGTTATTTCACCATATTTAAAAAAACATGCAGTATGATGTGGTACATGCAACGCGGTTAACCGCCACATCCCTCGCATTTTGAATGGTTGGATCTGTACCACATTTTAGCTGTCAAGCCATCTTCATGTGTCTTTTTTTAGTGTGGAATTAACCATTAGTTATTAAGATACATGGATGCAGTTCCCTGCTCAAATGTCAATACTTACATGGCTATTATAAGACTCTGTCATGTCTGGTACAATGACTTCTGTGTGTCCCTTTGTTCCCATGGTCCCTGAATCCAGGAGTGGCTTCCGGTTTGATAAACATCGGCTATAAAGAAAAAAAGAGCATGTACAGTACTGTGAGCTTGGCTATTTTAGAATATGAATATGGTATGAGGTTTGCTCTTTCTTGTTTTAATGGTTCATTACTTAAAATTGTAAGCAATAAATATGTTGCTATATTCACAAAAAAAGTCTATACAATACTGCTACTCGAGAGATATAATATAATACCAAACTACGGCTATATACAGCTACAGTTGCCGATTACAGCTTTTCATGACATATAGTTATTAAAGTTTTTTATGCGCTTGTTACTCTGTACAGTATTAATATTGTTTTAAGTTTTACAGAATTTGTTTATTTATTAAAATAAACCTTTTTTTTTGCTACTTTTACACTATGACAAAATGTTCTTTCAGACAAGAGGTCACGGTGCTAATCATTTTGATACAGTAGGGATTTGTAATAGAGTAGTAGGGTAAACATCCATAGCACATACTATACTGTAGTTTCACAACTACTTGTGTTCTAATGACAGTCAAACATAGAATGGGAAGAGTTGGAAGTTCAAAGCAGTATTAGCAGGATACCACTATATCACAATTCTGCCTCATAAAATCAATCAATACAATGCATAAACAGGAGCAATACAAATTCAATAAAATGTAAAGAAACCAGCACAGGAAACATTCAAGTGAACTATAATCCAAATAATGCCAACACATCAGAATTTTGATTCACTTCAATCTTTCTCATGATCATAACGAAATATCTTGATTATATGGATACAAAGAATGTTAGCTGACAGAAAAAATCCTCCTTGTCCTGGAGGTGGAGAGTACTCAATACATATGGTTTACCTGTCCACATATCTTCTTGCCTCCACGTTATCTAGTGCTGTCACTACAACATCTATTCTGTTGTAGAATTCATCACTGTAAATACTTTCAGTCGCAGGACACACTTTGTTGAGATGAGCATTGATTTTTAACTGTGGGTTAATATCCAATGTTGCTGTTGCAGCAGTGGAGCTTTTAGGATACTGCAGAAACACAAGAGAAAACAAGCTGAATTTGGATTGCTTTTGAAATCATTAGAATTTCACAAAATTCAGACTGAAATTCGGATTCTGCTGTTTTTTGTTTCTCAAACTCATACATTCTAAACTACTAGAGCTAGTAGTGAGAACAGTGCCTCAACCTTAGAAATATTATTTTCTGATTTAAAGACAACTTAAAACCATGTGTTTTTAGGATGATTACCAGTTTGAGAGACACCCATTCACTTATACCTGTACAAGAAGACTGTATGAGAGTGAAGAATGAAGTGTTATTTTTGTGCTTTTACAATACAAACATCCTGTTTGTTCAGAGCTTGAACAACACAATGATTTATTAAAAGCAAATTTCCTAACAAATAATGTTTCTACAGCAATGTTCTCCAATCTAATGTTACTACTACCAGTATTATTTACTACTACTGACTAGCCTATACCAGGGTCTTGGTCTTGCTTGTCTGCCATTATGAGTACCAATGGATCCTTCTACAGCGTCATCCTTTACCTACAACACATTCTACAGGTATGCAAATTGTATTGGGTGTTTTAGCTGAACTGTGGCTGGATTTTTCTTTCATGGTCCTGTGGCTTTGCTGCTTTGGGAGACTTTTTTTCCCTCCCTTAGTCTCCTTTACCATAAGTGAAGAGCTGTGCTAACTCTACAACCACAGATCCAGGCCTTGGTGACATCCTGTGCATCACTGGACTTAAGGAGAAAGTTTTTGTGTAGAAACCTTTGAGATTAGTAATAACAGTATTTCCCCTTATGGAATAATTTCTGAGTTCCTGTACTGTGGCATGATCTGTAGGAGCTAGGCCTTACTTAGGACACCTCTATTTTTAACTAGTGGATTTATGCATACTCTATCTTTTCAGTTAGCCACAGGGTCTTGAAGCCCTGACATACCAAACCCTCTTCAAAAGACACAAAACCATAACTCCTTCTTCTCTCCCTAGTTCTTTGAAATAATTAATTTCTGACACAATTTATCAATGCAGCAATCAGTTTTTCTACTATGTTCCTCTACCCCCAGATCCTAGCTATTCAGTTTGGCTTTTCCTAATTGAGAAAAGGGTACCCATGGAAAGAATGCTCATTAGAGATGGCTAGATGAGACTGTAGGGAGAGCTAGTTTTGCTTCTCCATATACATCTAACAACTATCAAAACTTCCCATGCCTATAAGGACATTCCTACTAACGTCTGGGAAAATATCATACACCTTAAACAGTGGAATATTAATTGGGAGGGCAAAATATGCTTCTCTCCACATAGTTTTCCTTTTTGTACAAATAACCACATGTGAAAAACTGGTCGAACCACATAAGTCAACAGGTAAGCACTGACATTACGTTGTTAACATCCACCATCCAAACAAACTGTCCTTATCAAGACATTGACCTAACCCAATAAGGAACAGTACTAAGTGATATCCACTGCACCCTCAAAAAGAATGCCCGCACCATTTTCAAACAGAAGACCAGAATTAGATGAGCGAATGTTGCTGAAGGGGGTAGAACGATAGTTTTTCAGACAGGCACAGCAGCGCCAAGCCACGCAGAGCTTTGTAAGTAAGCGTTAGTATTTTAGAAATGAAACAAACCCTGAGAGAAAGCCAGTGCAAGGACTCCAGGATAGTAGTAATATGATCACTTGCACTAGACCTGGTCAGCATTTTGGCTGCCAAATTCTGGACATACTGTAGTTTGTTCAATGTGGATTTAGATACCACTGTGAGTAGGGCTTTGCAGTAGTTAATATGAGGAAAAAAAGGTGTTGATTAGCTTTTCATCAACAACATAGGATGCAGTCTGGCGAACTTTCATATGTTTTGACAATATGTTGCAATTGTCAATTGTCAAGCCTGGATCAAATGTCACCCCTAGTTCTTCAATTTTGATTGAAACTCAAGTAAATTACCATGTACAGATAGGGTTACTGCATTTGTTTTACATAGTTGACAGGAGTGTCAAGAAGCAAGATTTCAGTTTTTGTTCAGATTAAATAAATTTTAAGTCATCCATGTAATTATGTCAGAGATGCAATTAGAATGAGCAGAGACAGCTACATCAGTGTCAGGTTTGGAATGTACTGAGACACATTTAAAACACAACAAACACTTTTGCGTCGAAAAATCATTTTTTTCCAGTTTTAATGCCTGTCAGTTTATAACTGTCATTAACCTCAACAGTTTCCTGTTATTAACATGTGATCAATTTTGATACGGAACGTAAACCATCAGCAAACTGAGTGCTGGTTAGGAAAGGAATAACACAAGCTCTTCTCTTTTAATTGGCTTTCTCTTCTCAAGCCTTCATTTATGTCTGCATGGCTGCTATATTTTCAGTTAAACCACTCTCAATCATGTGAAACATGAACCTTTTTTCCCCAATTTTCTTCACAAGACCCCTTTACTAGTAAACCACACTTATATTTCTTTGCCACAGAGGTGGCAGAGTGAAGATTCAATAATTATTAAACCTTAATTTATATTCAGGTGTATTCACTCCACAATTCAGATGTAAGAAAACAAGTGCATGTTGCTTTTGTGAACAGATATCAAAATTACCTGTATATGATGCGGTCTGAAAAGAAACTGCCTGTTCAGGTTTGACTTTTCAATTAAATCTGGATCTGTAATAAACAGCTGAACAATAAACAATTATAGCATTAACAAAGAACCTTTTTCAAAACCATGGCTTACCATCTAATAAAAGACATGCTTTTATGTACTGCACCTGAGTGACTAATGAGAAACACTTTTCATTATACTATGCACCTAAGTTTATTGACAATAAAGTTGAACTGAATTGAGTTTATCAACTATAAATACCTCAAAAAGATTTTATCTGAAGATCATCTCCTCCTTGAAGATTCTTCTGCAAAATGTAATCTAAATCTAAAATACATTAACTATTTGGTAAGGTCTGAAGTATTAGATCTTAATGGTATTTTAAATAAAATAAGATTTCAATAGCATCAATGGTTCTTTGGAGTGCCCTAAATATATACTATTTCCAGATACTTCCACACCAGAACTGACTGGAGGACCCATCTGTTTTCAGAAAAAAAGACCCCAGTCCCCTTCACACCTCTCCAGAACTGCTGGCAACACCGGCACCAAGAAGAGCAAAGTTCTTCAGCATTTCACAGCCAATTGCACCACAGCCCACCTGAAAGACCGGACATAGGAAATTTTGCTAAAGACTGATCAACAGAACTTAACAGTGCATTTGCTTGGGATTCTTATGAAGCAACCCTCCTAAGTAACCCACTTTCTAAAGAATGGCTAAATAGCATTATTTTTCACACTCCCTACAAACAGAATATAAGTGCAAAACCTAATAAGAATATATTTTTTAAAAAGACAGGATTAACACTTCCATGGAAAACTGACTTTCTAAATCAAGTAAAGAATTGCAAGTAGATAAAGAAACATACTGTAAATGACTAAGGCTGACATAATATTGTGAAGAGTATAGCCTCACCAAATGTACTGAAGAAGTAATCATTTCAGTTCCAGTATTGCTATTCTTTGTTTCTGCCCAGGTAACTCCTTGCTCTCAATTTGCAAAATAAAAACTACGTTTAAACACTACAGCTGTGTATCTAGGATGGTACGTGAAGATGTGCTTTGTGCATGCTGATTATTATTGGCTCTGCTGTATATTTGTATTGTACGAGTCTTTTAATTGTATGAGCTCAGCAAACCAAATTCTATGCAACTAGTTGTTATGCCAAGTAAGTAATAATATATTAAGTATTAAAGTACTAATATAAAGTAATTAAACTTATTTCCATCCTAATGCACAATACTTACCAAAAATGTTCTCAATCTATGCAGTTTTTGGCACATGGTTTCTCCAATGCAAGCACGCAAGGCATCATATCGATCTCCTCTGCCCAAAAAGTAACAGGCCCCAATCATAAATTGGATTTTTGACAATCTGATACAGCTTGTGCTGTTTCTTGTTTGTATGCAATGTCTGTTACTGGTATTTCATTAAGATCAGTCTGAGTAATGCTGAAACAAAAATATATGCAAATAAACTAAAAAAAACCTTTGCTATCCTTTTGCACATCGTAAGAAAGAGTCTTTGTAAATCCAAACAAAAAACATACATGCATGTACAGAAGATCAGAAGCACTCTTGGGGTCATTTACTGTCTATCATGCATTGTGAATGAATTGCAGGGCAGATTTTCTAGACATTTGCTGAAACAGTGCAGACCACAGAAGAAATGTAGAATGGTTCTGACACATTCAGAGTTTTGGACCAAGTATGATAACTGATGACATTCCCAAGCATACTGGGTAAATCAAAGAGACTCACTGGCCACATAATTAGGGAAAGGAATAAAAGAAGAAACTGTTACACATACAGAACAGACCTTCTAGTTAATTTATCAGAAAGCCAGTATCCAAGGCTTTTGTGTCATGTGCTGTATAACATTTAACCAGGCACGTAGCCTTACCACAGTTTCACGACTTCTGAAGTTTCTGAATTTCACTGAGTGTATGGAGATGTATTATACCACATCAAAGTGATAGCTAATATGGAGCTATTGTAAAATTATTTTACAAACTACTTCCTGAAATTAACAACATTTCTGCTGAAAATGAATTGTTTCAGAGCTCAAATGGAAATGGTACCTAGACTTTTTGACTGAATTCATCTATACCTATAAGGCAATGGGAAAACCGATATACAATAAATATTTACCTATTTATACCTATATACCAATTAAATATTTACCGCTGTTGTTGTTGACTTTCATTCTACCATGAGAAATATCCAAATATTAAAATATAATCTTAAAATGTCCACCATCTTTAGCAGTACATCTGTATGTGTGCAAACCTTCCCAAGAATGAAATTGCTTAAATATTGGATGAGGTCTGGAAGCAGAGATAATTTAAATATTTTCTAAAACTGGCCTGCTCCTGATCACACAGCAGCAAACCTAAGAGATTTGGCCATACCTAGAATTTCAACACTTCAAGGTTTAGGGTGTGAGAGAAGTCTTCTATGGGGCAAATCTTTCAACAGTGTTTTGTGAAATCAGACAAAAAAAGAATAAATATATGTGATAAATATGGAAGACAGACATATTTTAAAATAATAGCTCACTTGGGGTGGAACTCATCTAAAGAAAGAGAATCCAGGACTTTCACCACTTCAACAGCATCCAGATAGAACTGCAGACCCAGGAAAAGGAAAAAATTAAATCAAAATGGAGACAAAAGGGAAAAAGAGTGTGGGGAAAAAAACATAGTAAAAATGAAGCTTACTGCTGTTATCTATACCGAAGTGTATGACAAAGCCAGGCTATACTGAATTTCCTAAATATATAAGTAGTCTATTTTAAGAAAAGAATATCTAAATCTGATTGGGAAATCATATGGCATGTGCATAGATCAGTAAACTAGTCTGATTCATGAATACAATCAAAGTCGTGGGATCAGTTTTAGATACACAATACTCCACATTGTTGTTTACATCCTCCAATTGTTTCCCGTTTGCTGATGTCTTAGATTTAGGTTGATTAGATCATGGATATGTACGTTCTGCATTTGTGGTGTTCATTTTCTGTTACGTTATGTACGTTTAACCTTGCCTATTCTTTCCTATTTAAAAAACAAAACTCTGCTAATTATGAAACAAAGCAATCTGATCTAAGTAGAGCATCTTTTTGTCAACTGTACTGTATAATACTATATTAAGCATGAAGACATCTACAACAGATTTATAAAGTTATCAGGAAATAAAATACTGAATACATTAAAAAAATGTTTTTTATTCTCTGACAGCTCTGCTGATTAGGGAACAGTAGATTAGAGTAGTAAACCAATCTCGTGTGGCCCAAGCTTTGAGGAAGAATGTATTCTTCTGTCTCACTCTCTTCATCTGTTTTGTGTATCCTCTCAACCTTCTTTTCCTCTTTCTTCACTGTATTTCTCATCCTTTCTCTGTATTTATGCTGTGATCTATCACTACTGAATGTTTTCTTTCTTTCGTGATCCTAATGATTTACCATGAACTTAATGTGAGAAAATAATTAGAACCACCCTATGTTTCTACTACATTTTCACTAAATGTGTTGAATGTATTTAAGTTATTTATTACACGTCTTTACTCAACTCTAGTTATTAATATGTTTTGTACATTTCTCTATCGTCCACTATTCGATTCAATTTTGATCGTCATGACGTGTAGGTCCTTCACTATTGTGTTTTCTAAATTTGTTGACAAAAAATAGTTTGCACAAAGTAAAAACAGTATTGAAAACCTACGGTTTCTGTTGCTGTCCATCAATATCCTCAATGTCTATCTTCAAATAGAATTAGCAGTTCTAACTGGACAGTGTCTTTCTGGACCATTTGGGGAATGCTGGGAAGCAATGCTGGGCATGAGACAAGAAGGACCTACCCACTGCTGCAGGGGAGAGAACTTCCCTGTTAGTGCTTTCAGGACCTCCTGACTGGCTATCCCCCCCAGGGCAGCTGACAAAGGGGGAAGGGAGCCCCTTGCTGTGCGCGACAGCCATTTTACAAGCTCCTCATTGATGCTGGCCTAGCAACAGGAACATTACAAGCTATCAGATTTAGGACCTTTGTATTCTGTATATCCTAAAACTTCATGAATTCTAAATTATGAAAAATACCACTGGAACATAAGAAATGCTAAATACCTATGACTGACAGGGACCACTGTTTTATTCCAATAAAATAATATTATTAAATTATAATTTAAAATTATTTTACTTATTAAAACACTTATTTCACTAATTTAAACTGCACGATATTCTGATGGCACCTGATTTAGCTGAAATGCTGTCACATATTTCCAGATACAAATTTAAGAGTTGCTACTGTATATGACCTTCTTTACTCTTATTTTGCAACATTAAAAGTTTAGATATTCTGTTCAAAATCAAGTGGTAATATTAATACTAGTCCTATGAAGGAATAAGTCTCCGCTGAACCCTGTTTCCATCCAGGGTGAGGACATAGAGGGCGTACATTCCTACAAGTACTTAGGGGTACACCTGGATGATAAGCTGGAGTGGTCTGGTAACACTGATGCCCTGTACAAGAAAGGTCAGAGCCAACTATTTTCTTAGGAGACTCAGGTCCTTTGGTGTGTGTGTGGAACACTGCTACACATTTTTTATGAATCAGTGGTGGCGGCAGCCATCTTCTACGCTGTGGTGTGCTGGGGCAGCAGCATCATGACAAAAGATGCAAATAGGCTCAATAAACTCATCAAAAAGGCTGGCACTGTGCTGGGGAGGAGCCTTGACCCCATGGAGGTTGTGGCTGAGAGGAAAATGCTGACCAAGCTCACAGCCATCATGAACAACACCTCTCATCCGCTTCATGGGACTGTTACTGAGCAGCAGAGCACATTTAGCAATAGACTGCTCCAGCTACGGTGTTCAAGGGAACGTTTCCGCAGGTCTTTCCTCCCGGCGGCTGTCAGGGTGTATAACGCTGCCCTAGGCTAGGACTTTTAGCCCTTCATTTGCTCCTCTATGGACATCATGTTTACTCCATTGTACTTTTTGGACAATCAGTCTGTATAAACATATGCACATTTTGCACATATTTTATTGTTTTTACAGTAACTATGATCAGCACATTTTGCACACACCTATGTATTTATTTATTTTTATTTATCTTGTTTGTCTTTTGTTTTATAACTATTCTGATGTCTGTTTTGCTTGTCTTGGGCTGGACTGCTGTAACACATCAATTTCCCTATGGGATTAATAAAGTATTATCTATCTATGAATACAGTCCAAAATGACAATGGATATACTACAGATGATAAATGTAATAAACTGTAATAAATAATACTTACTTTGTTCACTAATGATCTGTTCACTTCTTCTGTCAGCTTTATTAATACTTCAGCATCTTGAAGACTCCTAATACATACAGTTTTGAAGTTATTAATATCATGAGGCTCTGATGAACATTTAATAAATTAAATTTTTACATATTTATAAAGTAGAATTAAACATACAAATCAAACCTTGTTGGACTCTAGAATCCAACAAATACATTTTATTGTGGTACAATACGGAATCAAAATGTATTTAATTGGGATTTTTTGTCATTCATGAACACAAACTACTCTTATGTCAAACAGACAATCACAGGATCATATGATGATCATATATATGATCATTTATATCATATACAACAGTGACTAACTGTAATTCCTTGTATGGCATGATGTGGCATTCCTTGTTTGTAGGTAGTTTAAATAGTTTCATTCACTACCAAGTTAAACATTATAGCATCCCAGTGAAGCACACTAGATATGTGTGAGCAACATTTGGCAGTTTACACCAAAAAAAGTGCAACACAATTACTTATGTTGCATCCATGTGGAGCCCATGTCTGGAGACTTTAAAAAACAATATATTTCTGAAGTGCATGTATGCATGTAGTTATAAGATGATAATGTTATATAATCTAATGTTATATATTACATTAAGACTAACTCCTTTCATTGAAGTTCAGTCTTTCAAAAGTTGTTACTTCCTAAATAACCGCATTTTCACTTTGTAACATCTGTAGAACTCTTAGGTTATAAATTATAAGATCGTTACTCATTCATTTTCCTTTCAAGGCTACATCCATGATCAAAAGGCTGTTTTTCCTGGTGAGTACCATGGCCGCCCAAAGCAAATCTTAGAAACATAAGGTGCAAGGCAACACTACACCTAGGACAGCACATCCTAAACAGCTTGCCTTAGGAAGTTGGGATGCAGCAACTGGAGCAAACCCAAGCAAACAAATTATGAATACAACAAACCAGACAAGATGCAACCCCTGACATTGCAATTAGTGGTGCAACCAAAATTCATTTTTTTAATTATTGTGCTGCCAGGCAGACAGGGATTTTGGATCATGCCAAAAAGGTAGAACAGGACGGTCTCTGTTTCTAGGCTAGCCGATGTGAAGGATGAGGTATGACAATTTCATTGGAAGATTTTGAATGATAGTTTATACAATTTTTGTATAATAAGGATTTAGAAGACTGAAATTTTACCCGATGCCTGGCAACCTCTTATTCTTCTCTTGAAATGCGTCTAAGGCTATTAAAGCTGCATGTATCTGCAATGGTGCCTATTAAAACAAAGAGATGAAAAAAGTCACTCGGTGGTAGATGCTTTCTTCCCAAATATTGTTGTGTTAATAGAAGATGAATTAATACAGATTTATTCTGATATACTGCTTTATAGTGATATCTTTTGGAATTCCTGTTTATTTACACATTTGTTAAAAGAGGAAGTCCCCTTTTTGTTGTTGTTTCAACATAGTCTTTTTGGTAAAACATTTCATACTATTTGAAATCAGGAGAAAGTTCTAGTCAGCAAAGGAATATTTTGTGCTATTTGTGCAATTGTCTGTTTCTTTTTTATGACTTAGTTTGCTTTTATTCGTACAGAAACCTTTGTTTTCAACCTAACCTTATTCCTTAAAGCTATCTTCAGACAACTGCTTAGGATAAAATGTCAGTATATTTTGTCAGTTATATTTTCTTTACACAGATTAATTTAACTAACAATTCAAATATTGGTCTCTTCTTTTAGTTGAGTACTCATTTAGAAAGATTTCTTTGTGGACCCATTATTGTGAACCTTATTCAACTTTAAATCTTTTGAGACAAAGTAATTTATAACCAGAGACATTATCATAAAAGTACATTGTATCTGAAGAAACATAAACTAGGAAAAATGACACGAAAAATAAAAGGCTTTTGAGAGATCGTTAATAGACAAAAGCACAAATAAAATTGCCAAGTTAAATGTTAATTCAAAATAAAATGTAAAATTTTATGTAAAAAAACATACAAGTTTCCAGATGCAGCAGCAAATAGTGGTATACAATATTTGACTCCATGGTTAAGGAGGGGTTGACAAATTAAGCAAAAGATGAATAATGGAAAATCTTACTGTAATTAAACAATGTAATGAATTTACCATTTATCTGCATTGAATAAGGGTGAAAAGGTATGTAGCATGTTCACCTCTTTTAAGTGTTTTTTAGAAAAAACATGTCCAAAAAACAGTCCATAGGATAGCTTCAGAAAGTATTTGGACCCCTCCACTTTTTCCACACTTTGTTGTTGTTTGACTTATTTCAAAATGGAAAGAATTGATTCTTTTTTGCAATCATTCAACACACAATACCCCATAATGATAAAGTGAAAACATGTTTTAGGAATTTTTGCAAATTTATTAAAAATAAAAAACTGAAATCTTCCATTTACATAAGTAATCAGACCCTTTATTCAGTACTTTGTAGCAGTGCCTTTAGCAGCGATTACAGGTGTTATTCTTCTTGAGTATGCTTCTACCTGCTTTGCACACCTGGATTTGGACAGTTTCTCTCCATCTTCCTTGCAGATCCTCTAAAGCTGTCAGACTGGATGGGAACTGTCAGTGAACTGCAATCTTCAGGTCTCTCCACAGAATTTCTATGGGGTTCAAGTCAAGGCTTTGCTGGGCCACTCAAGGACATTCGGAGACTTGTTCCGAAGCCAATCCAGTGTTGTCTTGGCTTTGTGCTTTGATCGTTGTCATGCTGAAAGGTGAATCTTCGCCCTAGTTCAAGGTTGTGCGCACTCTGGAGCAGGTTTTCTTCAAGGACCTCTCTGTAATTGGCTCCTTTTTTTCCCTCAATCCTGACCAGTTTCCCAGTCCCTGCCACTGAGAAGCATCTCCACAGCATGATGCTGCCACCACTGTGCTTCACCATATGGATGGTATTTGCCAGGTGAGTAGTACCTGGTTTTCGCCAGACATTGGGTTTGGCATTCAAGCCAAAGAATTCAATTTTTGTCTCATCAGACCAGAGAATCTTTACCCTCATGCTCTCAGAGTCCTTTAAGTGCTGTTTGACAAACTCCAAGCGGGCTGTCATATGCCTTTTGCTCAGGAGTGGCTTCCGTCTAGCCACTCTACCACAGACACCTGATTGATGGAGCGCTGCAAAGATGGTTGTCCTTCCAACCGGTTCTCCTATCTTTACACTGGAATTCTGAAGCTCTGCTAGAGTGACCATTGGGTTCTTGGTCACCACCCTGACCAAGGCCCTTCTTACCCGAATACCCAATTTGGCCGGATGGCCAGCTCTAGGAAGAGTCTTGGTGGTTCCAAACGTCTTCCATTTGACAATGATGGAGGCCACCTTCAATGCATTACCAATTTTTTATACCCTGTTCCAAATCTATGCATTGACACAATCCTATCTTGGAGGTCTACAGAAAGTTCCTTGGACTTCATGGCTTGGTTTTTACTCTGGCATGCACTGTGAACTGTGGGACCTTATAAAGACAGGTGTGTGCCTTTCTAAATCGTGTCCAATCAAGTAAATTGGACTACAATCAAATTATAGAGACATCTCAAAGATGATCAAAAGAAATAGAATGCATATGAGCTCAATCTGTTGTGTAATAGTAAAGCATCTGAACACTTATGTAAATGAGAGATTTCAGTTTTTTATTTTTAATAAATTTGCAAAAATTCCTAAAAACATGTTTTCACTTTGTCATTATGGGGTATTGTGTGTCGATTGATGGCAAAAAGGAGTCAATTCAATCCATTTTGAAATACATCCGCAACACAAGTGTGGAAGAGAAGGGTTCTGAAAACTTTCTGAAGGCACTGTGTATCTTTAGCTAAATAATCTGTCAATGTAACAAAATTCATAAATCTAAACTGACTGTAGTATTATAATGATTACTAATGCTTACTACCTTTCTTTACATGGCTATCTTTTATTTGTGAGTGCTTAATATTTTAAAGAGCTAACAATCTTCATGTTAATCTACATATGCAGTGCCTACATAAAGTCCACACATCCTTTACAAAGTAACACATTTTGTGGCCTAATAGTCACAATGACACAATGAATCAGAAATATTTTTACCTTCATTTACACATTTTAACAAAAAACTTCCATGTGAACAACAAACACTCAAACACTCTGAAAATTAATTATATATGAAAATATAGAATTATGGGTTAGTTATGTGTACATACCCTGTATTAATGCTTGAAATATAACCATATTGGATATATATTTGATAGGTCTAAACAGTACAAATATAGCACAACTACTGTAGATTTGGTAATATTTGTCCATTCCTCCTTAAAGAACTTCGAGCTCAGTCAAGTTGCAAAGGGACCACTGATGGACTGTAATCCTTAAGCTATTCCTTAAATTCCTTCATTCTTCGAATTCTTTCATTCTGAAACGTTTTCCTCAAAGACTATTCTGTACTTTGTTCCATTGATTTTCATTGTATCCTGACTTGTGCCCTAGTCCTTGCCAATGAGGAACATCCTAGTAACATGATATAACATTACCATTCTTGACAGTAGGGATGGTGTTCTTTGTGCTATGTATATATATATATGAAACAACATTTTCTGGAATGAGAATAGTATAGTTATTGCTTATGTACTCTCACAAAAAGTTGTCAATTTGTTTTAAGCCCTCTGACCAGCAATACAGCTTGTGTAGGGAGGCATTGCAACTTGCCAATCACACGAAAGCTCATTATGTGCACTTTTACTCAACAAGGTACAGGTGGAACAATGCCCGATCAGGTCACCTTTAAAAAGGCCTTTATTCAAAGCTTAGGTCACTGCAAGAAAAAGGCCACACTTAATCAGTTTTCTTTCTTGAATGTCACCAGAAGCAAGAAAGAAAGCCATTGGCATACTGCAGGCAGGCACGTCATGTGCCAGAACTGGCAGACACTTTGGAGTAAGCTGCTCCACTGTTTCCTTTAGGTAAGGTGCTACCCAAATATCATACAGATGCAGCCATTCAAAACAAGCGGGGTATGCTGTGGCACAACGCGTTGTATGTGTCGCAGTATACCACAATTACCATATGCAAATTAGATTTGAATTAGATTGTTAATAGAATCCGGAATCACCTTGTAAAACTGGCAGGTGGAGCTGTCACCAGAAAACATCCGGTTTTCTGGTGATATTATGTAAACTGTACTGTACATTCCTGGTCTTGGAAGTTTAAAGAAATAATACACACCAGTATTCCATTTCTCCCTAAACATTTTAAGCATCAAAGTCTTATATGTGGTTATTTCTGAAATCGGTATGCTTTTGTTTAATCCAATAACGAGCATATTCGCAGAAAAGCTTAAAATTGTCACTTTTCACAAAGTATATAAATGTACAGTAATATAGTCAAAAGGAGCACGTAAAAACGTTTCCGAAATAACCACATGTAAGACTTTGATGCTTAAAATGTTTAGGGAGAAATGGCATATTGGTGTGTATTTTTTTTTTATTTAAACTACCAATACCAGCAATATACAGTTTACATTATATGTTTATGTTCTTAAATTAATATCGTTTATGAGCATATTAAAGGCATGGTGAATCGGAGATTCTCAAAACTTACTTTGTATGATTGGAAACGAATATGTGATCGATCAACGAAAAGCTGTGGTGTTCCTTTTTGTCAATGAAAAAATAGTAATTCTTTGGGTGATAAAGGGAAATACTTTTGAGTTTACAGCTTGTCCAAGGTCATTCATTATTAATACTATTAGTAATATCTTCGGTAAAGACTTCGATGCATAAAATATTTCTGCATAATTAAAATATTTATGATAAAGGTAGGTTGTGTACTTTTGCCCAACTGAGCAATCTTGCTTTCATAAAATATACCAACTTTGTAATGTATGATGATTAACATGCTGTAATACACAGTTTAAATTTAAAAGCTCAAATGCTGGAAATGAGAGGTTAAGCTTTATTAGCTCCTCCTGGCGGTTTTACAAGGTGATTCCAGATACTATTAACAATCTAATTTGCGGTATGACGCGTTATACCACATTTTGATGCGACACACCCACTGCATTATCCCGCAGCATACCCTGCTTGATTTTGAATGGCTGCATCTGTATATACCTCACACCTGAAGAAGGCTCCACGGCCAAAACGTGTTTCCTTTCTGTTCAGCATGGAATGAACCCGTTAACTGTTCCTTTGCAGTCTACGTATGCTGACACAGCTACCTTACACCATATATATATTTATATAGTATGTTGATCATTCTACAGTTCATGCACAGTGTTACACAGTGTTGTATTCATATTATTTCTTATATTTATTATTAACTTTCCTGTTTAAACCGTTTTACTGTCTGACTGCAAGCCAGTACAAACGCACTGGAGAAATTACATTCCTGAATGTAATTAAATGTCACTCACTGCGTTCTACAATCTTTGGGAGAACATGAAAAAGTCTCTTAATAAAATTATTACAACTTTGTTCGGTCATCACCTCTTCCAAAAACCTGTTAATTGCTGTGATGATTTCTTGCTTTGTACCATCTTCCAAATATAGCCTTTGAGGGAGTGTGAAAGGACAATAATATCATGATGATGTGATGATGCAATAATAAAGCAGGCCTCCTATTATAAGTTATATATTCAATATATATACAGTCATGTGAAAAAAGAAAGTATACCCTCTTTCAATTCAATGGTTTAACATATCAGGGCATAAATAACAATCATCTGGTCCGCACCTGCTTCTATAATTAGACAAATCTAACCTCAGATAACTGACAGCACAACAGATTTTACTACAGTATGTCATTATTTATTCAACAAAAAGTAAGCCAAAATGCAGAAACCATGTGGGAAAAATTAAGTACACCCTTACTGCTTCCATAGGAATTAAGAAGGTAAGTAGCAGCCAGGTGCTGCTAATCAAATGCGCTTGATTAGTTGATCATCAGGAAGTGTGACCACCTCTATAAAAGCAGAATTTTGGCAGTTTGATGGTCTGGAGCATTCAGGTGTGTGTTAACACCATGTCAAGGAGAAAAGACATCAGCAATTGCAAATTGCAAATAATGGCCTAGTCAAAGTCCAGACCTCAACCCCATTGAGATGCTGCGGTTAGTGATTTTTTTTTAAAACCACTAACATCAAAACAGGAGCTGGAGTAGTTGCTGCTGCAGTTCATAGCCTCACAATATCCTGCAAATGCACTGGATCTGCAACACTGCTCGCTTTTGACTGGATAGTTAACACCTGTCTCAGTCTGTCTGGGGGATGGGGTTGGGTCTGAAGTTACTGTCTCTCTTTCTCAATTTGATATCGGATGTCAGGACACAGTACTGCTATGAGCTTAAGAGACTGTGAATATTTCACATACTGTAATATAGAAAATTAATAAAACATCAATATAGAATACACATTAATTAGATTTAATAATTAGATAATTATTTTATTTATATAAGATTTTAATTATACAAATATATTAGACATAGTGACATTAAAATCTTGGTATTCAAAAGACCACTTTAAAACTTTTGAGTAGTCATTTGAATGACTTTTTTTTGTGTTCTGCAACTTGCTTAGTCTTTTGGTAAGGTGCATTAGTAACCAGGAGACAGACAGTGCCAGGAAGTCGTCCTGTGGTATTCAAGGTATTTGGGAGTTTCTAAGCTAAAGCTGTATCAGTGGCTATTTGGAATGTGTACTGAATACTAAAAGCCACACCCAGTTTTGATTTAAATTATTATAAATAATAATTAATTTTAATTATTCTTAAATAAATATTGTTAATGATGTTCAGAGAAGTTATTATACTTTGGTTATTTTTAGCCATCAATTTCCCTTTAGTTCCATGATTTCCATATTAATATAAAAAGTCTACAGCTTTTTTACAATGAAAACGAGCAGTCATTAAAAGGGTTAAAATATTATAGCTTTTTATAAAATATCTAAACTTTATAAAATTAGAAAGAGCACATTAACATTTTTTCCAAAATAACCACAATAAGTGACTGAGAGACTTTGATGCAGAAAATATTTATGAAGAAGGTGGAATACCGTTGTGTACTTTATAAGTAGCTACCATTACCAGCTATATGTATGTATATTAGGTAGACTATATATATGCAAGGGAACAAGTAATAGGTTTATTCCATGCTGAAAAAAAGAAGAAAGAAAACGCAACGTTTCGGCCATGGAGCCTTCTTCAGGTGTGAGCAGTGAGCTTCCTACGCATGTTGACACAGCTACCTACCTGAACTATATATATATATTTATTCATAAATTAATATTGTTTATGACATTCAGAGATGTTGTTTTTTTTATTTTCAGCTACCAAAACTTTCCTTTAGTTACATAATTCCAATTTAATTTTGTATATTAAGTAGATTTAAATATGCACAGTAGAGAAACAAGCAATCAATTCACTAACATCTAACGCACCACAAGAGCCATTGATCACCTTTGGCCAATGAATCTCACACTATACTGCGCTGTAGTACTGCAAATAATACAGTGGTAATAAGAATTAACACACATTCCGAGTGGCTGCATCTGTAATACAAGTGTACATGTAAGATGCCTGAACAGCGATCACTGAAACAAACAGTGCTGTTGCTTCCAACAGTCACAAACTAGACAAACCACTCAGTGATTATGGATAGCTGACAGCATAATAAATGTATTGTTACACTTCTGTAAGTGTTTTAGAAGCACCAGAGTTTATTTGTCTTCCACTTTGAAAGTCCTGTTAATTTATACAAATTCCAACACTGTTGACCCAGTAGTAATCTTGGGGCCTTCCCCCCCCATTATTCTATTATTTATTAAAAAATAATATTCAGTACTGGTGAAAGTGAAAAATGACATTTAAGTTATTTCAAACAGCTGATGTAGTCTTTACAATTTAAATTAATAATTCCGTACCATATTTTACAGTCAACCCTTCAAAATACTTAAAATAAAGACAAAATTAAAACACCATATGCATTACTGGATTTATCTGGGCTAAGATAATACACTGCTAGTTACCACTGGACAGATTATATCCTCATTAGGAAACAAACAAAAAGTTCTCTCACCTCAGGCTTGCTTAAATCAGGGGCGAGAATATTTGGATCTAAAAGCTGCTTCTCCATGTTTTCCTGAAACGGATAAATTGAAAACAAAATAAAAGACATACTTCTGACATAGCTTAAGGCCACAAGTCTCTTGGTGTGCAATTAAATTACTAAATTAGAACTGGAAATATGAGAAAACATTTTCCATGGTTTCTTGAAGAAAAGCAAAGAAGAAGTTGTACCATGCGCTGTCAGTGGACTGCATTAAATTAAGACTTAACTGCCTTCAAAGATCATTCTGACATACAGTTGAGAGCACTTAAAACATACTGAAATATAATTTCCAAATATATTTGTACATCTACAGTATATAGGTGCTGATGCACCTAGGGGTGTGCTACATTTCTAAGTGGGTCATTGATTTTGTCAATGTTTTACACTGCACCACGATGACCGCAGACAGAAGGCAGTGTGATGTCATGTCTGGAACTAGGCACAGGTGTGTGTCCTGTTCCAGACCACATACAATTTGGGCACCCCTGGTCACATTGCATGCTTCACTGAATCTCTAAGTGAAAAGAACTTAACACAACCTCTGCAGGATACAAACTTAAATATGACATATTTCTGCACATTCTAATGCACAATTACTCTATTTGCTGAATTTAACAGATTGAAAATAAAACAGAAGGATAAAAACAGAAGGACTGGCCCAAGAAACATGAAAAGCATTTTCACAGTGTTTGGTTCCAAACAGCTTCTAAATCAGGTACAAAGAATAGGAGGCAGAAACACCTTAGGTTGATGTTTCCTCATTTGTGCGCCAGGTAGTTAAGAGATGGATGTAAAAATCACTTTTCTAGGCCTCCAACATTATCCACAGTAGCCTCAGTGCTTTGAAAAAATGAATATACTTGAGTGGTGTCATTGTTGTTGAAAAATAACTTTTATTTATACGAACACCACATAAGAGCCATGTGAAAAATCTAGAACAGTTCATTTAGAGCTCATCATTTTCCTACAAGCCAAGATATTCTATCACAGTCAGTTTTGAAACATTACGGTGTATTTGCTTCCACAATGTTGCGCAATCCCATTTCATGTATGCATTAAATGCTCTCATTAAATTTATATTTAAAGATAAGACTACATTACATGTAATTTAATGCATTCATAAAAACGTTTTAGTTTGCGGTATTAAAGTACTTTCTAATATCACTGTGGAGCTTACTTAAATATTAAAGTTTAAATTGTGTATATCTTTTTCACCCTCAGCAATGTTTTCTTTTAGTAATTTTTATAAGTTTTTTAATAAGATAATAATAACTAATAACTAATAACTTATTTTATTTATATTTTTATTAATATTTATGCAGTCTTTTTTTGCAAAACCATTTCCGACTCTTTTAGACATTCATCAATCAGTCCTAGATTAATCATGTTCTCGATTTTCAAAATGCACTGCATATTACAAGTATTTTATATCCCATTGCCTGTACTTGTGTTCTCTCAACAGCGTGCTATGCAAATCCCAATTCTATCTAATCAAAATATGTCTGAAATAAAACAATTTACTTTGCAATAATGGTTTGGATTGAAAAGGGCAGTCAAATTTGGACTTATGACCATTTGATATGAGAGATCGAACAACCCAATTATTGCAATAGTATTCAAGTGGTTATTAGGTGATGGGACACTATCTTCCTATTGATAATTTGTTTTAGAAATCATTTATACAATAAATACTGTAGATTGAAGTATTTTGGGGTATTTGTTTATGTAGTGTCTGTGCTAAACTGGAATACCAGACCCTAGTAAAAGGCATTCTGACAAATAAAAGTCTGAAAGATGGATTACATCAGGAATTATACAAACTTGGTGTTATTAATATTTTTTCCAAAAATGGGAAATTATCTGAAATTTCTAATAAATGGATAACTAAATATCTTAAACATCTAAATCAAATTTAATCAACATAAATTAGAATAGGTTACAATAGAATCTTCAAGATTAAAATACCTTAAAGGACTGTAGGCACTGTCAAAGCAATTTACTTCAATGTAATGCTAAATGACTGATGATATACTTACAAAGCAGTACATCATTGGTGTTTTTATCTGAAGTACTATTCCTCCATGGACATATGGCTGCAAACTAGACGTGTCTCCTATTGCAAAGGTATAGGGGGACAGGACTGAAAAAAAAAATAATCAGGTTTAGAATAATAATGAACAAATTTCATTTGATATATTTCATATTAGATAGACTTTTTTTAAGCTCTACAATGTAAAAAAATTAAATAGCAAGGTATTAGTTGAAATCCAATTACCTGGTTATTAATACAAAATCAAAAACAGAAATGCTTTGTGTGTTTTGCACAAAGTCAAGGTAATGTTTTCTAACTTACTTAATAACTGCATTAATGTTAACCACATAACGTCTAGGAGATGATGCATAGAAAATACATCACAAATAAATTAATAATACACAGTGCAACATCTTTAGGTCTGTAATTCAAAGTCATTTTAAAAAGGTTGTTTGTACATGGTCATTAACAAATAATTCCCCCATGGAAGGGAATGAAGCTTTAGAATAGCTTACAGACCATTCAACAAATGCAAGAGCTTTTTTTTAAATAATCAGATGCAGGAATGCACAACTTTGTAAAACCACCAGGTGGCACAGTGAATGGTTAATGTGGAGAGTGGAAGAGGTCCGGACTTAACACAAAACACCTGGGTTCGAATACCAGCTAATGCCGACCCTTTTGGGAATAATTTCTGTCCCTTAATATTTTTTTAAAAATCATAAAATTTAATTTGTAAGCTATATTATCGTTTTAATTATTTTTTCACAGTATGCAAAATATTAAAAATAAAGGTAGGGCTGTTTTAGAAAGCAAGATTACTCAGCAGGCTATATAAAAATAGCTTATTGCTTTAGCCCATTATGAATGGGTACACATTTGCATTAAAATGGTGTGTATTTGTCTTACTGCTAATTTAAATATGAATAGAAAAAGATACTTTTATTTTATATTTTGCTTTATATAGTGTATTATATAATTTAATATACATAATACTAAATTTAAGAGTGAATAAACAAAATCACAACAGTAAAAAATTGTTGATTATCCTGCACAGCTGCAGTGTAGCTGAAAAAAAAAAGATTGCTTTATGTTGGGAACCAAAGCAGCACAAACACTATTTTTTTCAGCACAAACGGAGCACACTGTTAATACTAAGTAAAATAAATTACTTATTTCCTGCATCAGTTTTAGATCATTTTAGCACATTCTTCACTGCTTCAACTTGCTGACGTTTAAGAACTGTGACTTGGGGTCCTGCGCTGGACTACTCCTGTGAATACTTGTGGCTTCAGCTCTGATAAATTAACTCAGCTAAAAAATTAGTAAGTCTCCAAGAGGAGATGTTCAGCATAGTAAATAAGAAAAACTTGTTGATAAATTGTTGATAAATTCTGTCAATTAACTGTTAGTCTTGAAATGATGACTAACCTAATCCTACGTGGATTTATGATAGATCGCTGGAAAAGGTTCGTGATTAATGCTTCATTCACTTTTTCCATTGCTTTCTATAGTGGCTTGGCCAAAATTTGACTACCTTAGCAACAGTAAGAAGGAGCAGGGCCCTGGGTAGCTCCATAGTAGGTCCTAATACATACTCTATCCCACTCTAGCTAGTAAATAGGTTAAAAATTTATTATAAACCTTGGAGATCCAGTTGATTAAAGGACAAAGATGCATTAAAATACATCTGTCTACTACAGCTCTTGAAAATTTAAAACACTTACATGTTGGGGATTATGAAAATGTATTTTACTTATTGACTAAACCATCTGGTCAATTCCTGATTTTCACAAATTTCATGAGCCTCCATTTGTAACATCATTTTATGTACTGTATCAAACAATTTTTATTAATCACTACCGCAGCATTCTTAGTACATGATTTATTTTAGAAGGTGTTATCGTTTTAATTCATTCAATCCTGCCCCATAATGTAAAAGATGCCCCCATCTAGTAACATCAGATTTGACATTATTTAATATTTCTTTACGAGTTATGTCACAAGTTTAATTGTTATTTGATTTTATTCGCAACCCAAAGTACTGTTCTCCTTTTTCAGTTGTACTGGACATACAATCTACTATAGAAATGTGACAAATTAAGAGGAAGAAATTGACCTGTCCCAATATACCTTATATCCAGATATTTAACCAAAGCTATTAATAATTTCAACTGCCTCTGAAAAGGATTTATATATGTCTGAAAGATATAATATTACATTATCTGCATATAATGAAATCGTATTCGTTTTCCGATAAACCTCTATACCTTTAAACTCTGCTGATGCTCTCATTTCACAAGCTAAGGGTCTCTATGGCTCAACTAAAAAGCAATGGGAGAAAGGACATCGCTGTTTGGACTTCTGTGAAAACTGAAAGAACTGCATGAGCAATTATTGATGCAAATGGCCTAGTACATAACTTTTGAATCAATTTAATAATTAGGACCACATCCATATAATTTTAGTACATTAGAAAGGTATCTCCATTCTGTCAAAAGCCTTTTCTGTATCAACTGTGCATACACCAGGCAGCGATTTAGCAAGACTACCATAATGCATCAGGTCATAAATCCTGTCTGATCTTGATGTATTAACTTTGGTAGAAATGTATATAATCTGGTTGCCAATATCTTTGCCAGAATCTTATTGTCCATATTTATTTAACTAATTGGATGATAACTACAACACATAAAAAAGGATCTTTCCCTTTTTATGTATTAATGCTATCAAGGATTCCATGAATGATAAGGAAGGAGTAGCTGTTAACCACGTATCACTAAATGACTGCAAGAGAAGTAGGCTAAGGTCTAGCTGGAAAGTTTGGTAAAACTCAGCAGTGAAGCCATCTGGTCCAGGCGACTTATTAGGTGCAAAAGAAGTAATGGCTTCCCTAATGTCTATTATAGCTATATCTTCTTCAATAATATTCCTTCCAAGTGCAGACCATTTTGAGAAATCTGTATCAGCCAGGTAGTTCTGGATGTACTAGAGACTTCAGATTTATATTATTTTGCATAACAATTTAAAAAAGCCGAATTCCTATCTGATCTTTGGCGATCATTCCATCAGCCTTGGTAATACTATATATACTATAATTACATGTCATACGTTTCTTCAGCCTGGCTGCCAAGATTTTCCTTGCCTTTTCTACATCTTGACAATACCTTATCTGGGCCCTATTTATAACAAACTATTTTAACTCTCAGTAACTCATTATACTTTAGCTAGAGAGAAATCGGAGTACTCCAATCTTGATCATTACATTTCTGAAAAATGTCTGTAAAGCATTAATCTGAAACAACAATTCTGATTCCTTAGATTCTCTTTGCTTTTCGGAATAGCTGGCTATTCTAATAAATTTTCACATGACATCTGAGGGTCACTCAGTGTTTTCATTAGGAAAAGATTTACGATTGATAACATTTGTAATATACACTTCTAGATGTTTTTAATAAATTCATCCTAGAACGTGATTATTAACTCCAACTCCCATAATATGTTTTCCTGTGTCTTCCTCACCTCCCCCCCCCCACCCCACACTTCCTGTATTCCCTCTCACTAAAATTCAGTATGGCCCTTACCATAGTGGACCGATTTTGTTCTCACCTTCTCACACTAAACTGAAACAAAACATTAATAATTGGGAAAAAAAATGACAGACTTAAGTGCATTAAAAAAACTAGTCACCTCCACATAGGGAAGTTTGTTTTTTTTAAACAGCAGTAAAAGAATATCCTGATGCGAGTTAAATTTTCCTTACAGCCAAGTTGTAATTCTGGTATCTCAAAAGAGCTTGTCATTAAAATATAATTTATCTATATTAAAGCTGCATTTCAATGCTCTGCTCTCAACCGTTTCATAATAGGGTACAGCTTCTTTCTCCTAGTTACTACCTCCTCTGGAAACTGATGATTTATGGGAAAGTTAATCCTTTTCAATACTCTCCCCTCCTCCATCACCATCATCTTCATTTTATAATGCTAGAACCATGCAACATTTAGCTACTTCTGAATGTACTTGAAGTTCAATTTCACGTTTATTTGCCATTCCAGCCATATACAAGTATACAGTGGAACGAAATATCGTTCCTTCTAGTCCACGGTGCAAATACAGACAGGACACTGACAGAATTGTAGACAAGATACACATAGTGCAGACAGTTCAAATTACAAGGCAAATACACAACACACTGGGTGGATTTAAACCCTGTTTCTGGAATGGGAGTGGGTGCAAGTAGATTCCAGGGTGTTGAGGAGCCTGACAGCCTGTGGGAAGAAGCTGTTACAGAGTCCGGTGGAGCTACCCCATAGTCATCTAGGGTCATCTACTATACTGGAGGTCCTGTGTAAGCAGCGTATTTGATAGGCGACACAAATGGAAGGGAGGGAGGCTCCAATGATCTTTTCAGCTTTTTCCACAATTCGTTGCAGGGTCTTGAGGTCTGAAGTACTGTAATTCCCAAACCAAACAGTGATACAGCTGGTCAGGGTGCTCTCAATGGTGCTTCTGTAGAAAGCGGTATGAATGGGCGGGAGAAGGTTTGCCCTCCTCAGTCGCTGCAGGAAATGGAGACGCTGCTATGTTTTTTTTGGCTAGGGAGGTGGTATTGAAGAACCAAGTGAGGTCATCAGTAATGTGTACACCAAAAAACCTGGTGCTTCTAGCTGTCTCCACAGGGGATCCATTGATGTACAGTGGGGAGTGCTCAGCGTGGATCCGCCCGAAGTCAATTAACCTCTTTTGTTTACATGAAGAGATAGGTAGTTGTTTGTTTCACCAGTCCACTAGTTGCTCCAACTCCTCTCTGTATGGTGACTCATCGTTGTTGCTAATGAGGCCCACCATTGTCCTGTCATCGGCAAACTTGATGATTCAGTTTGAACTGTGCTTGGCAGCACAGTCATGAGTCATCGATGTGAACAGCAGTGGATTGACCACACAGCCTTGGGGGGTTCCAGTGCTCATAATGATGCTGCTGGAGAAGTTCTTACCGATCCGGACTGCCTGAGGTCTCTCGGTCTGAAAGTCCAGAATCCAGTCACAGAAGGAGGTGTTAAGGTTCAGCAAGCTCAATTTTTTTTTGTCAGCTTCTGGGGGATGATTGTATTAAATGCTGAACTGAAGTCAACGAACAGCATTCTTACATAAGAGTCTTTCTTTTTTAGGTGGGACAGGACCAGGTGAAGGGCAAGAGATACAGCATAGTAAGTAGAACGGTTGAGGGTCCAGAGGGGTAGGGAGTCTTGACTTTATGTAGCTCATGACTAGCCTCTTGAAGCACTTCATGATAATTGGTGTGAGTGCCACAGGGCGATGGTCATTGAGGCAGGACACGGGTGACTTCTTCGGCACTGGTATAATAGTGGTGGATTTGAAGCATACGGGGATGACTGCCTGGCACAAGGAGATATTAAAAATATCTTTGAGGACGTTAGCTAGGTTTCTTGCACATTCCTTGAGCATGTGACCAGGTATATTATCAGGTCCAGCAGCCTTGCGTGGATTAACTTTGGCTAGTGTTTTCCTCATCAGCTGCGGACTGGCAAAGCACCTGAGGAAGTGTGGTTTTCCTTGCAGGCTTAACATTCATTGCCTCAAACTGTGCATAGAAGTTGTTCAGCACATCTGGGAGAGAGGCATCACCATCACTAACACGTGGGGTAGTCCTGTAATCAGTAATGGCCTGGATGCCCTGCCACATGTGCCGCATATCTCTGGTATCCAGGAAGTGGCAATGGATTTTTCATGCATAGGTGCACTTTGCCTCCCTGATGGCAAGGGACAGGTTGGCCCTCGCAGTCCTGAGGGCTGCCTTGTTGCCTGATCTGAATGCAGCATCACGGGTTCTTAGCAGTGCATGGACCTCTGCAGTCAGCCATGGCTTCTGGTTGGCCCGTGTGATGGATTTGGAAACAGTGATGTCATCTACACACTTGCTGATGTAGCCAGTCACAGATGTTGCACAATCCTCTAAGTTGATGAGATCCTCATAGGTAGCAGCCTCTCTGAACATATTCCAGTCTTTGTGCTCAAAACAGTCTTGTAATGCTGACATGGCTCCATCTGGCCATACTCTGATCTCTTTCAAAACCGGGTTGGCACGGTCTTGAGCAGCGGTCTGTATGCTGGGATAACAGATGTAGTCAGAGTAGTCCATGGGGGGCGGGGAACAGTCTTGCATGTGTCACGGATGTTTGTATAAACTAAGTCTAGTATGTTCACTCCTCTAGTTGCAAAGTTAACATTGATAAAATTTAGGCAGAACTTTCATAAAATCTGTGTGATTGAAGTCGCCGGCAACAATGAAAAAGCCGTCGGGATGAGCAGCTTGCAGATCACTGATGGCCCCATAAAGGACTCGTAGTGCCTCTTTGGAGTCAGCGCTGGGCAGGATGTACACAGCCACAATAATAACCGTAGTAAATTTCCCTGATTAATAGCAGGGCCAACATTTAACCGTAATAAATTCCACTAGCGGTGAGCAGTAATTAGAGACTACTGCAGCATTTCCGCACCGTTTGCTGTTTATATAAACACACAAACCTCCGCAAGACTTACAGGTTTCCGAAACTTTCCTGTCCGCACAAGGAAGTCAGTCCATCTAGATGATTGGCCGTATCCAAAATATTGCCCTTTAATCATGTTTCAGTAAAAATAAAGATGCAGCACTCCATCTCTCACTGAGCAGCCCGTTGCAGTCTTAGGTAGTCCAGCTTGTTCTCCAGAGAACAGACGATGCAAAGAAAAATTGACAGGAGAGCGGTCTGTTAGGGTAAGCTTTTAGCCTGCAAAAGATTCCAGCCCTCTTGCCTCGTTTCTGTTTTCTTTCACACCGCTTTTCCTGCCTCCTCATTTGAACACCTTCAACAGGTTGCGCCGCTGTCCCAGGACCTGATCCTCTCAGTAAGCCAAGGCTACTTAGCTTCTCCATCAGAATATTCAGCAAGTAGTCCTTGCATTGTTTTTCAATTTCCAGCAGGGTCAGGCGAGCGTAATCGTTTGAAAACATTGGACAAGAGACATCATTTAACACTGGGACAACATTTTGGGTAATTTTTTCCAGACCCATATCTGCCTCTGCATCCGTGCATGCCGCCATCTTAGCCTGTGATGTTCCATCTTATTTCAGACCTCCTACTCCTTATACGATCCACCCATTCAAAGCTTATTTTATCAACCAGATCTTCTGTTAACCATAACTAATCTTTCATAAATGTTTTTACCAACTCCTCAGTTTGTATGCGTTTCTTTTTTTCCTGTACTCCCATTATAATATTTCTTCTCATACATCTACACTGCAAGTCCAGAAGAAGTCCTTCAGTCGTGTGTTTTCATCTTGCAGTTCTTCTGTTACTTGAGTGAGCACAGCAACTTTTTTCACCAAGCGTTTTATTCTCTATCCGGACTTCTTCAATCAGTGTATTATTGAGGGTTGCTGCCTCTTCTAATTCACCAATGTCGCTAACAACATTTTGTAGCAGATCCAACATATACGAACTGCTGACAAGCCTTTATCGTCTTTGTCCTCTTCAGACTCACTTGAACTTAGTATGTGCATGGGGCCTTTAGCTTTCCAAAAACAGTCAATAAACTCTTCAAGGTCAATGAGAAAACTTATTTCTATTAATACCCATTTTGATCTAATCACTTAGGCAGTGACTTCACTGCACATTTTTGGCGCAAAATCCGAAGTAGAGTAGTAGAAAATTGGGCCATTTTCACTTGCCCAAATTTGTTTATGACCTCCAGAGACATTATACTTCCGTTATTTTTATTTTCAGCTACGAAAAATTATCTTTATTTACATAACTCTATATTAATGTTCCGGAAGGTTGTGTACTTCTGTCCAACTGAGCAATTTTGCTATTATAAAATATACCGACTTTGTAATGTTTATTGATTAACATGCTGTAATACACAGTTTAAAATTATTAAAAGTCTAAAGAGTATACAACTTAAATTCTTAATTGGAAAAAGATTGTCCCTCAGCAGTGACCAGGATTCAAAACTGGGCGTTTTCTGGTGACAGCTCCAATGCTGTAGATGAAACGTTAAGCTTTATTAGCTCCACTTGGCGGTTTTACAAGGTGATTCCAGATATTATCATCATAACATGTGGTATGACGCATTATGATGCGTTGTGATACTCCATGCCTACCGCGTTTTTGGCGCAGTGTACTTTGCGCATTTTAAATGGATGGATCTGTATATAATCACACAGTGGATTTCTCATTTCATAAAGATAATCAAGGGCAAAAAAACAGCTATCCACAAAAGAGAAAATATATAAAGTATAGAATGAAAATACTACAATGCTGGATTTTTTGTGTTTCTGCACAAGTTCATCAGAAGCTGACGATTTGTAGTAATGAAGGCAAACGTTCTAAATTTTAATTTCTGTTGTACATAAGAAACAAATATGCAAATGAGACAAGGACAGTTCCGCTTATCTAACTCTTTTGGATTTTAGTAGCTAATTAAACAGAGTATCTCATTCAGCCATTTCTTGAGAGAAGTGATGAAAGGAAAGGTAATTTGTTCCTTAAAAAATGACTTGCAAACCCATGTCACCATACATGAATCATGTTACATAAATATCAACTTTTTATGAATTTTGCAGATGTGAAAACATGTTGCCCTTATCACAGCAAACATCCACTAAAGAGAACATGTTTACTTTTACATTTTTTACACTTAAAAACACTGTCTCCATACCTGTAATCTGGTGAATTGTTCCGTTTAACTCCGACATGCCATTAACTTCCCGGAAAGTGATGCACTGTCCGGTCTGAAGCCCGTGAGTCTTGCTGTCCATGCATGTCACTACACCAGGATTACCCTAAAAGCAGAAGGGGTTTTGAAATAAAAAATCTCTCTTAACTCCACATATTGTACATCACCTGAATGTGTAATACTCCTGCTGCATAGAAATCTCTTTGGCTTCTTTCAAGAAACAGCCACCATGACACTTTTTATAAACAGACAGAGGCATTTGTAAAAAATTACATATACTACAAAAAGTCTGACTCTGGCAGTTATTTAAAATTAACTTCAGATAGTAGACCATAAGGAAAGAAACATGTGAAGAGGTTGTAGAACGATGATTTACTCAAAATCATTAACAATAGTCATACCATAGAGAGTAATATTATGGTGTTAATACCACTTGGAACAATTTACACATTTATACTTAGCTAAATCTAATACACCTACAAGAATAATAAATGCCAATATCGCAGATAACAGGATGTACAAAAGATGTGAGTGTTTGAAGAGCCTGGAGTGTTATGTCAGACAGCTTGTCAATGGTACACATTCAGCTGCAGCAGAGCTGAACTATACTTGTCGGAAAATTGTGCATAAAACTTCTTGATTAGTTATTTGCAACATTTATCAGCTGCCATATGATACTTTCCAATTGACAGCTTTCCCAGAAACTTTACAAAGTCAGGAGCATACAAATCCATCCATTCTTTTTCTAGCCAATTAATCCAATTCAGGGTCGCAAGGGAGCCAGAACCCATAATGGTCGCAATGCAGGGTACATCCTGGATGGAATACCATCCCATTGCAGGGCAGACGTAAAAATGCAGAGGCAAAAGCAGACTCACATACAGACATCCAGAAACACACTCGCATACCAGGATCAATTCTCCCAGAAGCCAATTAACCTACAAGTATTTTTTAAGCTGTGGGAGGAAACTCACACAAACACAGGAAGAACATATACAGTATATAATACCTGATGTCTGGAAATAAAGCCAGGACCCCAGCTATGCCACCACGCTACCCCAAGTTATTACTTGTTGAGATAGTAAGGCACACAAAAACAGTCTTCTGAGTACAAATCCCTCACTGTCATGTGACTATTCCTTTAGAACAATACCAAGACCCACTGCCAGTAAGAATGGCTGGTGTCAGTCTGACCAACTAAACATACAATATGGTTCCTAGACTTTCATGCTTGTGTAGCAATACTTATTAATGAGACAGAATTAAGTGTTGCTGTGCTTTCCTAAATGAGGCCCCATCTCTCTCTCATTTCTGCAGTGCACCCACAGAGAAGCTATTCATGCAGTTCTGATTTAGGGTGTTTTCTCTCAGATAAGGAGCAGATCCCAAGTGGGGATCCGCCCAGCCATGCTTGGCTATCATGATCAATAGTTATTCCTGGCGCCTATCTGCCTGTGAGATTCTTGACAACATCTGGATTGTGGTCCTAGATGTCAGAGGTCATTGTGACTCATCTCTCACCTTGACCAACCAATCAGGAACCTGTAGGGCGTGGTAACCTCACGTGGGTCTGCCCGCGAAACTTTCGACCAGTCACCATCTATCTTGGTCCTGGTTCAAAAGACACTGCACGGCTCAGAAACTTTGCTTCTATGGCCACTTTTCACACCCTCAGAGACAATCACATGATGGCTGGTGTTGTGTGTATAGGGGACTGGAACCTTGTTTCAGCAAAGTGTTGGCCCGGAGAATGCCCATACGTAAATTGCTAGCCAACGGGGACGCTTCACTTGATCACAGGAGTATACGTTTGGACTCTTGTCAACAAACTGAATAAGTTTTTATTCAGCAACAGCACTACACCGGAAGCAAACCGAGTTTCTTCCCCCTAGAGACAACGCTTATTGAACACCGCAGTGATCGGACGCAGCCGCTAGCTGGTCTTTGGTGCCCGTGCCGGGAAATACATATCCATATCTGGATAAGTAAATCCAATGTTCTGCATTGCATCTCGAGATTTCAATTGTTACCTCAACACAAGTTGATATCAATTCAATTCAACTGAGTAATGTATTTACTATTGAGTAGCTAACGTAGACTGATTAACGATACTATAGCCGAATGGTATACTGAAGCATAATCTTTGCATCTCTTTGTGTTTTTTATCTCTTTGTGATTATATACCTTACACTTTGATAACCCTCACAGTAAGATCTGCCACCTGTATCCAGCAGACTGTTATGTTTTATGCACAATTTATGTATTAATAAATGTATCTCATTTATTGAATCCATGTGTGTGCGTCACTGATTGATCAATTCTCTAAAAGCCATAACGAACCATCTCGTGATTGCTGCTACAATTAAACTATCCCAGTAAATTCACAAAACCCCCACACTTGGATATGTTATTGAGTTTTTGAAAAATACTACAGTATTCCCTAAAGGCAATGAACATCTAGCATCTTGAGTAATGAGATGAGAAATTGACAAGTGATACTGTAGAGAGCCTGCTACAGCCACAGAACATCATGCAAGTGTGCTATAGAAAAGAAAGGTCAAAACCATCTCCATTGAGAAAATAAACAGAAGTACCAAAGAGGTAAGTAAGATGCTGTGTGGTGGAGTCACAGAGTTGAAGTGACTCTCGCCGAGATATAATAATGAAAAACTGTTGGAAGACAGTTGAGACCATAAATATAGGGCAAGGATTTGGAGCTAAAAACAACAAACTGATTACAGAGATGGATCTTTTAATATCATGCAGAAATCATCAAAGTCAAATTTTACTATAAATAAAAAAAGAGCTACTGGACTATAAAACATATGCTGCTTAAGAGCTGAATAATACCGGGAGAAGGACTTAAGTAAAAGAGAACAGAAGAGAAGGCAAGAAAGCAGCAACAACAGCCAGTAATTAAAACCCAAAATATGAAACCTTACAGGAGAAACTAAGTATCAATTTAAAGCTACAATACTGCAGTAGAAATGTCAAGAAAATGTAAAAGGAATACAGGAATTAGCTAAAGCAGTATTATTGGAACAAGGAATTGTGGTAAAACAAACTAAACTAGGTGATAAGGCAAAAAAACAAACATGCTGGTGGAACAAAGATAGGAGGGGCTCAGAAGAAACAGAAGAATGCATTTTCTCTTACAACAGTTATATATTGTTTTATCCTGTTTGCTGTAATTTTATTTGCCATTTCTTCAATGTTTTAACTGTTGTAAGAGAAAATGCATTTATTATTGGTCAGGTTCGACATTGTCAATATTTAATTGAAAGACTATGAAATATTAATTTGAAATGTCTATGTAAAATTTGTTTACTTATGCTGCTAACTAAGGACAATGATAATAATAATAATAATAATAATCATTGCTTACACTTATAGAGCGCTTTTTCTGGACACTCCACTCAAAGCGCTTTACAGGTAATGGGGACTCCCCTCCACCACCACCAAATGTACAGCATCCACCTGGATGATGCGACGGCAGCCATAGTGCGCCAGAACGCTCCCCACACATCAGCTATCAGTGGGGAGGAGAGCAGAGTAATGTAGCCAATTCATAGAGGGGGATTATTAGGAGGCCATGATTGGTAAGGGCCAATGGAAAATTTGGCCAGGACGCCGGGGTTACACCCCTACTCTTTTTCGAGAAACACCCTGGGATTTTTAATGACCACAGAGAGTCAGGACCTCGGTTTTACGTCTCATCCGAAGGACGGCGCCTGTTTACAGTATAGTGTCCCCATCACTTTACTGGGGCATTAGGACCCACATGGACTGCAGGGTGAGCGCCCCCTGCTGGCCCCACTAACACCTTCCAGCAGCAACCTTAGTTTTTCCCAGGAGGTCTCCTATCCAGGTACTGGCCAGGCTCACACCTGCTTAGCTTCAGTGGGTTGCCAATTGCCAGTTGTGAGTTGCAGGGTGATATGGCTGCTGGCATAATAATTTCAAAAACAGCAGCAGGAATGGCAGGAATGTTTGTAAGAAGGGCAAACACAAAAAATATTGACATTTAAGGAAGACAAAATGAAGGCTCAAATAAGGAACAAGCAAGAAAAGATTTTGCAACAATTATATCTAGGTTCAACACTACACTAATGAAAGAAAGAACGTAAACAGGGTGTCAAAATAGTACATAGGTTAGAAGAAATGGCAGGAGGACGATTTAAAAAAAAAGATTGATGAACAATAATAAGACCAGCTTTTATAAAGGAAGAGCAATGTTGGGCAATAAAAAAAAAATAGAAGTTACAAGATAGAGTGTAAATGAGAATACTACAATGGGTAGTTGGAGTTACACAAAAAATAAGATAAAGAAGCAAAGATGTTAAGAACCTAGCTGGATCAGCAGGTACAGCTGAGAAAGCAGACAGTACAGACTGCATTTGGGTGGATATATACGCAGGAACAACAAAAGCCCAGCCAACCTGGCAGATACAGCTAATTCTGTGCCTGGAAAGCACCAGAGCCTGGACCATACAGATGAAGCCATTCAAAATGTGTGGTAAAACCCTGCACTGCGCGAAATTATCTGCAGAATAGCGCAGAACACCACAGCATGTGACTGGCTGGCCAAAATAACATTTTCTATGAATACTTGCGCTTGTTATCACAGTAAAAAAGCATTCATTTTAGAATTTGATTAATAGGGAATATAATATGTAATCGCTATCTAAAGAAATTAATAACGATATTTAAGGATTTATTTATTTTCATATATCTCAAAGGATTACCGTTTCTTGTTCTTACTGTCCCATTTCTTTGTAAACATCTGCCTCAATTTGACTCATTCACCCATGATTACTTGAAAACATTTTGCCTACCTTTTTCAGCTATGACATAAGTTGTCAGGCGGCACCTTGGTGTAATGGCTTTGGCATGTGACTCGCATGCTGGAGGCGGGGGGTTCAAACCCAGCACCCAGCATGAGTTTTCTTTTAACAAAAACATTTCTTTGAAAAATTTAAAAAGTAAATATGATGGACACTATTGGATGTTTAGGCATTTCTAAGTATCATAACATGTTCAAAGTTAAGTGATTTATTAATAACAACTATTAATTTCAAACTGCTTATATTTTAAAATTGTATTTTG